ACTAGTACATGTTGTATTGCAGCCAACAGGTTCATATCTCAAGCCAACTTTTGGGGTGCTGCCATAACCTGATCTGTATTTCAAACAACAACCTTTCTAATTAGTCCTCCATTACATACTTCTGCCTTTGCAAGGTTTACAACAACCTCAGTACCCCAATCCAACCATCTTCTTACCCAAATTATTAATCAGTTCTTCCTTTACTTCTAGCCGGCAACATGAAAGGGTCAGTTTGCCCAGACTTTAAATGCCTGAAGGACGCCCCTTCTTGGTTCATATTTTTGAAGCATATATTCTTTTCCTCCAGTGCATCTAGTACCCAGTGGTTTGGCTAGTATATACCTCACTAAAAGACCTGGTCACTTGGTTTACCAATCTCGGCCCCGATTCGAATTTAGCCATCATGTAGTACCATCAAAAATCACTGCTACTTCTAACTCAGGACTTTCCAAATAGGCTTCCTATATGGTAAAGAACAATCTCCAAGATTTACACAATCATAAACTTATCGAGTATTTGCATCACCCTAAGCTAGTTTGCATTCCTTTGTAGTTTTCAGGTTTTCTCGGTTGTACAAATACTAGCAGATCTCCCAGAATCACTCCCTAGTGCAACTCAAGTTACAGATCCTCAATTCAAGATCCAATCATCTTATACAGGTTACTGTATCACAGGCTGCCACTTGGAGAGGGTGACAACTAGATCACTTTACTAAGTCACTACACCTCTGGCACTATTTTTTATTTCATGCTGCTCTGAATTTTTAATATATAAAGTATTTTGCTAAAGTGGCTTTGGCACTATTTTTAAGACAGTATGAATTGATGAATATTACAGAGCTTGAAAAGAGTATATGAACAAATATACAAATAGATGCTTGTTTAAAATAATTTATTACTATTTTAAAGTACAATAATCATATTTATTCTAATTAATATTTTAGATCAAAATTCTGAAAACGAATTTGCAATTGCAATTTATAGAATAACCAAGAACCCAAAAGATAGTAACTACTAAATAGTTATGGAGTATACAAAGCAGAAAGCCTCAAAAATTGTTAGATAGTAAATATGGTGAATTAAATTGGGCTTCTAAAGTAGCTAATTTATATTACATAGCTAGAGGACTTAATACAATTCATAAAGCTGATTTAGTGTACAAAGATTTTTATTCTGACAATATAGTTAATCTTTCTTATATTATTGATTTTGGTTTATGTAGTGTCACAAAACTCAAATTCTAAAGAACTTTTTGGTGTACTTCCATATATTGCTTCAGAAGTATTATACACAAACAGAAAGGAATACACTCAAAAATCAGATATTTATTTTTTCAGAATAATTATAGAAATTTTTACTAGATATTATAATATTCTATACAACAAAAATCTAGCAATATATATTTGTTTTAGCTATAGGCCAAAATTAAATACAAAGCTCCTCAATTACTTTTGAATCTGAAAAATAAGTATTTAGACACAGAACCTCAAAACAGACCAATTGCTAAAAAATTAGTTAATATGTTGTATTAATTTTTTTATAATTTGGAAGATAAAGAGATTGAATTATATAAGCAAGTTAAAAATATTAAAGACTTTACAAAAATTTCTTCAAGTCAAATTGATATAATTCAAATATCAGATATATCTACAAGCTATTTATACAAGTTGATTTTTAAATATTTCAAAACTTTCTAAACCAGGTAATAATACATATATTTTTTAAAAAGTTAATAATATGTTATTAATTGTAATAATTTCTAAAAGCCGATTTAGTGAACAAAGATTTTAATAATTCTTATATTACTGAATTTGGTTTATGTAAGCTAGTATTACAAGACTTGACTTTTTGGTGTACTTCTATATATTGTTTTAAAAGTATTATATACAAACGAAAAAGAATATACTCAAAAATTAGATATTTATTTTTTTAGAATAATTATATCAGAAGTTTTTATTAGATATCATAATATTCCACACAATGAAAATCTAGCAACACGTATTTGTCTTGACTATATGTCCAAAATTAAATGCGAAGCTCTTTAATTACTTTTGGATCTAATGAATAAGTGCTTAAATATAGAATCTCGAAACAGGCTAACTGCTAAAGAATTAATTAATATGTTGTATTAATTTTTTTATGATTTAGAAGATAAAGAAACTGAATTATATAAGTAAGTTAAAAATATTAAAGACTTTGACAAAAATTTCTTCAAGTCAAATCAACATAATTCAAATATTAGACACATCTACAAGCTATTTATACAAGTTGATTTTTGAATATTTCAAAACTCCCTAAACCAGGTAATAACACATATATTTTTTAAAAAGTTAATAATATATTATTAATTGTAATAATTTCTAAAAGCTGATTTAGTGTATAAAGATTTTAATCATTTTTATATTACTAATTTTGATTTATATAAGCTAGTATCACAAGACTCAAATTCTAAAGGACTTTTTGGTATACTTCTGTATATTGCTCTAGAAATATTATATACAAATAGAAAAGAATACACTCAAAAATCAGATATTTATTCTTTTAAAATAATTATATTAGAAGTTTTTACTGGATATAATAATATTCTACACAACAAAAATCTAGCAACATATATTTGTTTTGGCTATAGGCTCAAAATTAAATACAAAGCTTCTCAATTACTTTTGGATCTAATGAATAATTACTTAGACACAAAACCTCAAAACAGACCAACTGCTGAAGAATTAGTTAATATATTGTATTAATTTTTTTATAATTTGGAAGATAAAGAAACTGAATTATATAAATAAATTAAAAATATTAAAGACTTTGACAAAAATTTCTTAAAATTAAATCAAATATCAGACATATCCACAAGCTATTTATACAAATTAATTTTTGAATATTTCCAAACTCTCTAAACCAGGTAATAGCATATATATATTTTAAAAAGTTAGTAATTGTAATAATTTTTAAATCTGTTAATATAGTAAATACAAGTAATAATATTTATTTTCTCAAACTAAATTCAAACTGTAGTATAGTATATTTATATGAAATTTTTGCTAGAAAAATCACTTTTCAGGATTTTCTAATCAGGCTATTTTAGAAAAAATTAGACCAAAATGTTAGTTTTTATTCATTATTACTGATTCGACAGTTTTTCAATAAACTATCAAATAAATAAAGCAAAAAGATAATTTATATATAAATAAGAATTAGCATTCTGATCTAAACTTTTCTGAATTAGCCTAATTAGAAAATCTCATAGAGTGATTTTTTTAGCAAAGATCCCAGGTATGAATAACCAGAAAATTGAAATTGAAGTTGAATGAAAATATTTATATAGGCTGCTAGCAAAAGAAATAAAACAGATTGGCTTTAACTTTTACAGCTTATATCTTGATAAACTTTGAAGCTATTTTGTTGATTTAATACAGTAATATTTAAAAGTTTATAATTCAAGCTTTCTCTTGACTATTAAATAATTAATATATCCCAAAGTTCATCGAAATATAAGTTATAAAAGTTAAGAGCAGAGGGTATGTAAATTATTTTTATTAATAAATGAGTAACAAAAATATTTTTACTGCAAATTTAAAAGTTGCTATATATAAATATTAATTTTTTATTATATAAAGGGAGCTATTACTTATTATATAATTATAGCCCCCCTCCAGAGTCAGTTATTTGACAATTACAAGTTCTAAAGTAATTATAATATAAACTCTATACGATTGGTTATTTTAGAGCTTACAATTGTCAAATGATTAATTACTTTAGAACTTGTAATTGTCAAATGACTGACTCTGGAGGGGGCTATAATTACGTAATAAGTGATAGTTCCCTAAATTGTATTTATATACTAAGTGAAATTGTTCATAATAAAAAATTATACATATTCTAAAAATTTTATTTATTTTGAATAAAATTTGATAAAGTTTTTATAGTATTAACTTTTGCAAGAACAGGGTCTATTCTGCAGAAGTAATCACAAATTGGCCAATCAAATCACGTGTAAACAATAAATAAAATAAAATTGTAAAAATAAAAACAACTTCTATATCTTATATTTTACTAGGCCAATTTTAATAATTTTACCACTATTAGAATCAAAAAAACCTTCTCTACAATTTTATTTAAAAATTTAATATGGTTACTTAATAAAAATTTTCTTTATTATTAAATATAAAATTTTTAGTAACTAGTTTATTAATAGAAATAATCTATATACTCTCTATCTTTAAGATATCGATCTTTTTTAAAATATTAATCTGCCTTATTTCTATTGATAGCAGCCTATATATTTTTAGACATGAATTACTTAGCAAAATTAAAATTAAAATTAAAATAAATAAAAGTTAAAATGTTTATTTATTATTAATATAAATATGTAATATATTTATTAATTATATATTTTTAATAAAGTTTTTAACTGAGTACAGGTGACTCCCGTTAATATCAACCTATTTGGATCAGGTAATTTGGTTGATATATGCGGGAGTTGATAACAAAGAGGAATTGTATTACAAATACCTTAATTAGTAAAAAGGCAAAGGATAATTGGCAATGACAAATTAAGTACATATTATTCTCTAATCTAGTCTCAATTTGGGTATTTCAAACCTGATTTCAGGTTGTATTCAAATCGCTTGATCATAGTATTTTTATTTCTATTTTCTTTAGTAATGCGAATACTATAAGTCTAATGATAGTGATAAAAAGCTGCACAACTGCATAATATTATATATAACATATAAAAAAAAGGAGAAAAAAATAAAATTCTATATAAAAAAAAAAGGAAATAAAAGTAATAATAAAAAAAAAAAAAGGCGAAAGAACATTATACAACATCCTCTGACGACCATATCAGGAGTTTAAATAAAAAAAGAGAAGACAAGTATAGTAATCTGTTCCTTCTCTATATCTTTACTTTTATATTATTTACAAACTATTTCTAATTATTAAAAAAAAATTGATTACTTTTTTTTGCTCCTTTGATTGAGATATATTTAACCGAATTCATTTTAACAAACTTCGCAATTGTGGTAAGTCTTGGTCCTTAACAAATTTTACTGGCTCTTGTTGCTCTACATATTGTATGAGTGATTTACATTGCTTCAAGACAACAGAATATGAAATTTTTTTAATTTCAACATCGCTTTCATCATTACTACTATTGGAATCAGAATAAGAAAGAATTTCTTGAAGAATAGTGGTTTCATTCAAAACAACTTCTTCTATTGCAAGATTACAGTATTATCAATACAAATATAATCACTAGCAGCCATTACTCTCATATAATTAGATGGGATTTCAGAAATGAGATTTATAACTTCTATTTCAGCTTCGACTTCATCTTCAAATTCAACTTCGCCTTCAACTTCACCTTCATATTCAACTTCACTTTCAGCTTCACTTTTAATATCTTCAATATTCCATTTTAATCTACTCCACTCTCTTGATGATACTATTTTGGTCTTTCTCCAGCAATTAATGATGGTTTCAGAGGTTACATTATCCCATGCTTCCATAACAAATCTGGTTTTAGTGATCAAATTTTAAATAGTTAACGATTAATTTGCTAATTCACATGTACTTTTTTTTTAATTTTTTTTTTCTCTTTTTTATTTTTTTATTTATTTTTTTTTTAAATATTAGTTGCCAATTTAACTTATACAATCTTGGTTTGTACACTACCTTATTGCTTCTAAGATATTAAGCCGAGATATTTTTTTCTCTGCATTGATGGCATCTACAATACATTGAAGATACAATTTTTGATAGTAAGATTTAAATGAATATATAATACCGGCATTACATGGCTACAAATAAGGTGTTGTATGAGCTGGTAAAATATGAACTTTAATGTGAGAATATTGATCTTTTGAATGAGATGAAGCACCATCAATTAGCAGAAGAATTTTTTTGCACTTTAGTCGGCACGAGGCATTTAAAGACTTTATCCAATGGTCAAAAATAGCAGTTGTCATCCATGCATTTTGGCTGGCATCATATTCTACACCAAGATTTTTTCTCTTAATACCTTTAAAACAACGCGGTTTAAATGATTTTCCTATTACTTATGGTTTGAGTTTATCTGTTCCGGTTGCATTTATACAAAGAAGAATAGTTATTCAGTCTTTAATTTTTTTTTTCTTTAACTGGTTTTGTTGCAAGTGTCTGATCAGGGGTCATTCTAAAATAAAGGCCAGTTTCGTTGGCATTATAGACATCATCTGGCTTATACTGCAAAAGCAATTCAACTAACTTCTGCCTTTTCTTAGAAAGATTTTCTATAGGCACACTCTCTGATTCTCTATAGATTTTAAAATTTTGAATATCATGCCTTTTTTTAAACCTATCTATCTAGCCGTGACTTGCTTTAAAGTCATTTTCCGGTATACCTAATAATTCTGCGAACTTTTTGGCTTGAACTTGTAAAATTCCATCTGTTAGAATTCCATTATGTAAAAGAACTTTTTGTACCCAGATGTCTATAGCATTTTCTAACTCCATAAATTTGGCTAGCCGATTAACTTTTTTTTCTTCTTGAGATTCTGCTAGTTGCATAGTCAACCACTTATCCTTTTCACTCAAAATCTTTGAAATTGTACTTCGATCACAATTATATTCTGAGGAAAGTTCATCAATAGTAAGGAATGGGGTTTCATTTTTTCGCTGACATATTTCTTGTTTTGTTTTTATTGTTAGAGTCATTCTTTTTTTTCTTGGCCATTCTGTATCTTTGTTCATTGCAAATCTGGGGTTTTTTTTAATTTTATTTTTACAGGTTGAAATTTTATTATAAGCGAGCTTAAAATATAAGAAATTGTCTTATCTTACTAAAACAACTCTTTTTATAATAGATTATTATTATTTACTTCGTCTGTAGTATTATTTCGGGCATCAATAACAATCATGATTTTTTCATTTTTATTTTGCATTATCACTTATCTTATTGTTAATTTTTTAGTATTTTCACACCTCTGAATTGTAGATCTCATGGTTTATAAAAAGCTGCATCAAAAGGGCAATGTGCATACAGATAGCATGCATGAGACTTAACTGAAAATGAGGGCCGTAAGCAGTATTCGAAATTTCAAGCTTAAATTATTCTCATGGGAACAATACATTAAATTAATATGTGAATGTATTATGCACTAAAAAAACAATGAAACAAAGATAATCCTAAATTTAAGAATTCACAGTGTTGCTATAGTAAGATTTATGGTTAGGATTGATTCTAACGAATTGTACTTTCTAGATCTAGTACTATTAGCGAACTAGCTATGGTTACTATATTATTTATTCAGAATGTTGGTTTGTTTTTGCTATCTAAACTATTATAGCAATTTTTTTATTTTTCACATATGATTAAATATCATTGGCACTAATCATTAATATAAATATTACAGATTTTTTTGTTCAATTGTTATCAAGAGCTGATGAATGCCTGCATTTGTACCAGTTCTGCTCGCTTCACCAACGCTCTTTTTATAGATACAAGACTTCACCAACAATCATTTCAAACATTTAAATTATTGGTAATTAGTTCACCGACATGTTCATTTTACTGATGCGTTTTAGTTCACCAACACTTAATTCACTGACAATTAATTTACCGCCAAGTTCAATTTGGGTAGTTTGAAGAACAAGAAACCAAATTATATGATTAAACACTCGACCTAAGTTAGTGTTAGTGTTAGGATTAGGCCGATTTGCAGTGATTAAGTTCGTTGGTGAATTAATTGTTGGTAAAATGAACATTTCGGTGAATTAATTGTTGTTAATTTAAATGTCTGCAAAATGAACTTGGTGGTGTTGTATCTACAAAGTGTCGGTAAAATGATACGTGTCTGAATATGCAGATATAAACTTATAGAATGTATTAAATAAAATAGTGTAGATCATTGTTAATTTTTTTAATCAAATTTTTTGTGCAGATATCACATAATATACAATCTTATTCTATGATCGTATTCTGTGTGGTAAATTTAAAAAAAACTATGCGCAATTGCTCTGTAATTGTTTTGACTATGTGCACTATTTATGTATATAAAGTTCTTTTGTGTAGCATACACATATCTGTCAAAAAGTGCGCAAATTTTTTGATTCTTTGTGCTGCACATAGTTGCTAATTTTAGATCTATAGTTAAACTTTACATTTTGATTAGTTATTTGCTTTGTGTTATGTGCCTTTTATTCGATTCTTATTGGCTAAGGATATCAGCAGGGGAATATTAATTATAAAAATATATATATTTATGTTGATAGTGATATTAATAAAAAATTATAATAAAGTTAATATATGCAGGGAAATTTATATAGTTGGAAATTTGTCTTATAGTTTATGTTGATATTAACAAGATTTTGATATTAACGAGGTTGATATTAATGGGGGTCACCTGTATTAATAAATTGCTTTGTGTGAAATTTGAGTAGACATGAATTTGAAATTTAGTTAAAATGCATTGCATCAATTTATTTGTTATGCATTATATGGATAGAACTAGAAGAAATAATGATTCTAGTAGCTAGATATTACTAGACTTTTCTAGTCACGATCTAGTGAGGTTCAGAAAGAAATTCTTTACAATAATTCATAAATAATAATTTCAATACAAACCTTAACTATTGTGTATACATATTAGCAAATAAGTTCTGTAAAGTTTTTATAATAAATTATAATACTTCTAATACAAACCAATCTGTATCATAATCACTAATAAGTTCTGTATATTAACTCTTTAATACAATTAAAAAAGAAAACTAAATAAGATAGACAGTAAAAAGTAGCACCAATTGCATTAGTAATAAGTAATTAAAATAAGTATTAGTCTAGTGAATATAAGAAGTTTATAATATATAATTGTCTAAAAGACATCTAATAAATAAGTAAATTGTATCAAAAGTTATGTTTTTGATATATCAGAGTTATAAAAGTTGATATATCATAATGATAAACAAGAAACAAAATCAAAAATATGACTAAAGTTACGTTTTTAATACATGACTATATGAGATTGAGTTAAGGCCACACAAACTTATACTATTGGTTCTCATAACCCGGCCGGGTCAAATTCAACAAAAGTTTGAAAAAAATTTT